CTATATTGGCATTTGGCTTGGCTTGGCTCTTCGGATGCGGTAGCCCATGTTCTTCTCAACCCCGCTCAGAGTTTTCTTCATTAGAATGCACCAAGCTGTAATAGCTCGTTTGGTATGAGCATGTCAGCAAATGCTTCCAGGATTTCAGCTGTTGAGGTAGAGGGAGGGGAGCTCTCAGATGTGGAATTCTTGCTTTTATCTGTCTGGTAACATACTCTTTGCTGATACTCAAGATTAATCTTTTCAGGCAAGAATTTGTTTTACCTTGGAAGAAAGTCAAACAACTTTTTCCCCTCTGATAGGCTGGATGAGTCACTAAAGGAATCGAGTAGAACTGCTGCTATTGGAAAGCAGCAATGCATTTAGTATTTTGGTCATCTGTGACAATAATGAGCTAATAATAAATGTTTCTGTCACATCCCAGTAACATTATTGTTATGTCCCGTAAAAGTATGCCAGAGAAGGTAACTTTGACAGTGCACGGTGGATATTTTGATCCACTTCAATTATTCTAAAAATTTTTGTGGAATGTTTTATGGCTCTGGGGATTAGACATGATAGTGATTCTCAGGCAGTAAGAAAGGCAACTTGTTCTGAAGGCAGCTTTATTCAACCATGACAGCATGGGGGCTTTGCCACTTAATGGAAGAAAATTGTATGTTCAAGTCTCGTATCATTGACATCCTGTGTTTTTGTTTAGATTTTAGAGGCCTTTGCTGCAGAGGACAATCACTTCGTAAGGAATTGCAAAAGACTTATATCCCTAAGCAGTGCTGTGGCCACCATGCCCCAGTATGAATTCCGGCAAATCTGTGACACTAAGCTGGAAAGCATTAGCAGAAGGCTCACAAACTACCAAGAGGTACAACACTACTAGTTATTGGTGAAGTCTTAGGACAATACTTCGTTGTCATAACTGAGTCTTAGTATGCGTTATTAATGCTTCCAAACTGCTTTAGAGGTAGGTGTCCTAGAGACATGAAAAAAGCTCTGCAAGTTATTGAAATTGCAAGTTTTGAGGAAAAAAGACTTTATCTGTAAATCGCTCCTTTCAGCTTGTCAGAGCTGTGAGTTATAGAATATTATTAGAGGTTCATTTCTACCATACCAGTGTATAAGCATGACAACAGAATGATCAGTGTCTGATTTAATGTGAGCATAAGTACAGTGTATCGTAGTGCAAACAAACTATGTGTGCTTTTTTGTGCAGTTACCTGAGCTGTTTGAAAAGAGAGTCCTAGAAGGTATAGCTAATTGCTTTCATTTATTGTTTTATGAGCTTTTTTTTTTTAATGTGTTATTCCAGCTGCAGCAGAACTCATATGATTCTGGAATAGGAGGCAGGAAGAGAAAAGGATTGTCTGTATTACATCATAATTTTTTGCAAGTGAAGTAGCACACGCTTGCTTTATTTTTCCCAGTTTGCAGATGAATTGAAAACAAAGGTGAGCCCAGCCTTCAAACAAGCTGTCATGGAACCACATTCCCTCAACAGCATGGATTTCTGCCCCACCAACTGCCATATTAACCTCATGGAAGTATCATACCCCAAAAACACTACCTCAGCAGGGAGGTCGTTCAGCATTCGCATTGGACGAAAGCCCTCTATTATTGGTCTTGATCCAGAACAAGGTGATAATTAACTTTCGAATTGTACTGGTTTTGTCTGCATAAAAAGTTGGGTCTTTCCACTGCTCTGCAAAGTCAAAATAAGTTCCAAAGAAACACGGTCTTACTGGTACCCTTTTTTCCTCCCTAAAATTTTATAGTAAAATGACAGCCTCCTTGTGTTATAAAGTAGTAATGCCTTTAAGCATAGAGAGGCTTCAGGTCAAATGTTTTTACTAGCTAGGCAGTGTGGTCATCTCATGATAATTGGGTATTTTTTGCACTTAGTAGAGGTGACTTACTGGCTAAAAGTGAATGGGGGCTGATGGTCCTGCCAGCGCTGTGAAGAGAGGCTACATTCAGAGAGGAAAGATGAGTTAATTAGATTGTAGTACTGGGTGGGTTTTTTTGTCATTATGAAAGAAATTCTATGCATTGGAGCTGAAAGTCTCTACTCTGTCAGGGGCATCTATTTTCTGATAAATAGCTGCTATATAGCATTTCTTCATCATCATCTCGCCTAACATGCTTCTGATTCATTGTCTTGTGAAGGTCAGAGTGCAGGAATAAATTGGAAGAGAGACACGGGGAGAGTTGACTAACCAATTTTCTGAAGAATGGCACTGACTATTTAAAATGAGTTTGATAAAGAAGCCCTGCTCACTTGAAGATATTAAAATTCCGTAGTATTTTTAGTGTGAGCTAAGGTGGTTAGCAAAGTACCGTATGAAAACTGTCAGCATTTTTAAACGAAAAGGAATGTTATTTATCTTCTGTAACGACATTATCCTATTTCTTTATATATATATGTGTGTGTGTGTGTAAATTGTAAAGCTGCAATAACAACACAGACCAACTCCTGAGAACCTGAATTCGCTAAGATTTCAACAAATGTGTTTAGATACTATACATGTTGTCCACACATATACAGACAGTTGGTGTCTTTACTTTCATAATTTAACCTGTTTCTGGACTGCAGCAAATTCAAAACATCTAGTTGGCGTGTTTTTGTCACATATTGTAATTATATAAAATAATGCTGTGAAATTTTATTTTTTCTAGTTAAATTTCCTCCTATCCTAAGCTATCATTATTGGGATGGAGTGGCGAAAGTCATGAGAGCCATACTAACTCCGACCCTTCAATGTTTAGTAGGTACCTTAAATCCAGTCTCATATACTCAACATTGCATCGCCACTATGGCTGCACCATCTTGGAGATGTCTGACCCCAGAAGATGGAGATCTTGATGGTAGTTTTGGCCAGCAGAATGGAGGAACAATTCAGGAAGAAAGGGGACTCAGTTTTCTGTTGAAACTGGAAGATCGGGAGATACAGGACTCCTACGTGCACCTTTTTAACAAACTTGATGTTGCAGTGAAGGAAATGAAGCAATATGTCATTCAGATAAACAAGTGAGTAAAGAATCCTGTATGCACTGCAGAGAGCAGTTGGGATAAAATGGAGGCATTAACCTCAGACAATACATTGTGCCTCCCCGCCCCAACTGTCACGCTCTTACGCTGCCCTGTTCACACATGGACGTGCTCTACAGCTCCTTGCTGGTTGTGTCAAACCTACTCCTGTGCAGATCCACCAATATATATATTCTATATTGTCCTGTGCTCCTAAAAGTCTACCTGAATTCAACAGCCACTGTTTTGCTGACTATATATTCCAATATAAAAATCTATTTGGTGCCAACAACGGTTTTGGAATTCCATACATTCCCTTGAGAGTTTGTGTCATAAGGCAGACTAAGCAAAACTTGTGATTTCAGGCAGCTTTCTTTATGGCATCTGTGTTTTCTTTTCCTCTTTTTGTCTTTTTCTCTTTCTTACCATGGGTCTCCTAGTAGTAGTAATGAAGGATTTGAGTAGCGTGTCTGCGTATTGCGTAACTGTCAGGGTTTCTGTAGCAGGGACTGCAGGGGTGATCTGTGTGGGAGGAAGCCATCAGATGCCCTAAGCCGCTCACAGCCACTTCCAGGTATCCCAGTAACGAAACAGAACAGCCCATTGTGCACCAAAACTTCAAGTGAGCAGAAACCACGTGGAGCCTTGGCTCAAACATGTTTAAGAAATGGTGGTAGCTGCTGGTTAGAGCCCACGAGCTGAGGCACTGCCCCAGAGGAGAAACCCAGCGCCTTAGATGGAGAAAGGACTTTGGCAAATTAAAACCAGAGCCCTTTCAGGCCACCATGGTTATGTGGATTAAACTATACCTTTTGTAGGCAGGGTACCTGTGGAAACAAGACATTTTGTGAACTGATATTCATGAATTTCAATGACCCCTTTCAGAGCTCACAATTTGACATAGCTGTAGTTTGTGTAAAATGCTGGCAAGGTTGCTTTTGGTTTCACATAGCTGCATTCCAGCCCTTAGTCATTATACCTCATTTGTGAGACTGCCCACCAGTCCCTGAGAGCTGTATGTTCTACTTTTGTAGACTTTTGTCCACCATAACAGAACCTACAGAAGGTGGTGCCTGTGAGCCACCATCTACTGAGGAGACGTCTCCGCCTTCCCTGGGAACAGAAGAGAGTGATCCTGACAAAGCTGAGCATGGTGGAATCAAGAAGGTCTGTTTCAAAGTTTCTGAGGAGGACCAGGAAGACTCTGGACATGACACAATGAGTTTCAGAGACTCCTACAGGTTAGTCTGAAGATTGTGCCACTTTTACCTTACTAATACAATGTTTTGAAGTTCTAATCCAGGTATGGATTCAACAAGCAGGTTACTTTCCCGTCAGTCAATTATTCTGTGTTCACTTAGTAAAGTATTCACTAGCTGTAGCTATTTCATTACATTTATTACCGTGGGGACATCCAGAGCAAAAAAAATCTTTCCGTATAACAATGCCAAAATACTAACACTTCTAGAAAATTAAATAAAATTAACTAAGTAGGTCTAGTGTGACTTTCCCTTTCTATATCTTATAGCTGGAAACTACAGAAGCTCAGCAGAGTTTGCAGAATGCTTGGTCTTATAATAGCCGCTATTGTAAGGGGATATTTCCATTCAGTTCCACAAACAATTTTCCCAAAAATCTAAGACACTGTGAAACAGAAATGGACATTGAGTGTTTTATTTTTAATGGGCCTTTGAAACCACAAATGCAAATGTTTATTCAGGTGACTCAAAATCTTGGTTTTGGGACATGATTGACTGCTACTTCTCCAGGAATATTTCCCACCAAAGGAAATCTCACACTCCAAATCTCTCTTTCCTATGAGGAAGCATTTGGAAACTCAGCTTCAGAAGAAATGGAATAACTGGTTGCAGTCGTGTCTGACCATTGCAATTTTACATCCTTAATAGCCCATTTTTATATTTATAGTATGGCCGTAGGACTTTGCCTACACGAAGGAGTAAAGCCACTTTACAGTGAGCTGGGAGGATTACAGCAACCGGAATGAATGATGAGTCTTTGAAACTTCCACGCTACAGGCCTGATTCTTTTCTTGCTGCTGGTTTTGTACTGGTACAAGTAGTAATATGTTATGTTCATGCAGGACTGTGGAAATGACAGAGCCAGAACGGTTGATGTTGGAAGGGGTCTCTGGAGCCCACATGGTCCAATCTCTCACTCAGAACAGGTCCAACAAGATTGGTTGCTCAGGGTCTTGCCCAGTTGAACATTGAACGGCTCCAGGGACAGCAAATACAAAGTCAGTAAAGAAACAGAACCAACACTTCCAGTGTTGAGATCTGTGGCATCTATTTATTGTGCTAGATTTAAATCTGCACATGTGCTCTGAAGCTTTTTTATTGAAATGTGCTGTATTTCTTTCATTTCATCTAATAGGATTCCCATTTATGAACACTGTTTATTTTAAATGGTTTCTATAATTGAGGCTAATCTGTTCTGGGTAATAAAATGACATCAAAAACAGTCTCTGTGGGTCTGTCACTTGTTCCAAAGTTCTACACATAAATGTAAGATGCAAAAGATTATCCTTGTCTTATCTTTATTAGGCAGAGGCAGAGAATTAAGCATATATTACGGATAATAGTTGCTCAAGGGGGAATAGAATGTATTTTGATCTGAAAAACTACTGAGGAGCTACAAAAACAAGCAAATTACTGATAAGAAAATATCTTGTTTGCATTAGCCATGCTTCTTTCTCTGGGATCATTTGGAGGTGTAATTCAAATTTCATAGGGGTTTGTACTGCACAGTAGTTGCCATAAGTATTAATCTTCTTCAGAAAAAATAGATTTCTTTGGTAATAGGTTTAACAAAGGACAGGCAAGAACCATGATTAGGGTTCTTTCAGTTGCTCTTATATTATTCTCTCATCTCAGTCCAAAATAAAAACAGAGGAAGAGACAATATGGAGAATTTTGTAGGCTTTGTTTTGCACTTGTACCATTAAAAACACTGTCACTTAATTGGAGGGGGACAGACTGAGATCCATAGCCTTTTTTATTACTTTTGTTAAGTTATAGTTAGTGCAAAGTGAGCTTTCAACAGAGGAGATGCATACTAGAATTTTCCAGGTGTGCATGAGCCAACATTGGTGTGAAGCCAACTGTAGTGACTCCTCTGCTTCCTGAGATAGTTTTAGGATCTGCAGTGCCCGATTCTCCGATGGTATAGATTCCTTAAATTTCTTCTCCCATCTCCAATATCTGTGCTGCTGCACCTTCAGTATATGCTGGACTTGGATGCCGTAGTATCCCGAGAATTGGTAACAAATGTCGAGTTTAGTGGAGATTCAATCTCGTAGATTTTAATTTTCTCCCCTACTCAATGTTCATAGAGCACGTTTAGTGATGCGACCTAGATGAGGTCCATGGTGGGAAGTGCGTTTTTGTTATTTATAGGATCCAGGGAGTATATTAAGCATCGAGAGGTCACTACAAATGGAAAAGATGTGCTCTTACAGTGCCAGCCCCAGAGGCCTTGCGTAACGGTTGTTCTGCAAGTTTTTCTTAGTTTTTCTTTTCTATATGCGTAACAGAATCAGTTTTGAGGATTGCAGTGTTAGCAAGAACAGAGTGATAGTGTATCAGAGACTGGGTGTAAGGACAGGGTTTTTTCAATCACCTTCTTTGCTTTTCTTTCTAGCGAATGTAACAGTAACCGGGACTCAGTTTTGTCGTACACCAGCGTACGGAGTAACAGCTCTTACTTGGGCAGTGACGAGATGGGATCAGGTGAGTGTGTGCAGAGGTTACATGGGTATTTCTTGCACCACACGCCTTAGTAGAGCTGGGAAGTCTTTGCTGACTATAAGCACTTGCATGGTTAATCTTCAAAACTGATCACAAGAACTTAGAGATTTTTTTTCTTTTTCTAGTGAACCACAGTAAATTTGAAAAATGGAAGAGGCATTAGGCAGGGATAAGATTCTTTTGTTATTGAACATTTGAGTTATGTGAAAAATAATTAGTATTTTGATCTGTGAATTAGAGATAAAGCAGCAATCATTTTTCACCTGCTCCAGTGTGAAAGTGTGCTTGTGTCATCTGTGGCTTCATCACAGATTGTGTTTTTAAGACAGTTAAAAGCTTTTCATCTTTCCTTTGTTAGGAGATGAGCTTCCCAGCGATATGAGGATTCCTTTAGACAAGCAAGACAAACTTCATGGCTGTCTGGAACATCTTTTTAACCAGGTATGTAAAGCATTACTCTTACACAGAATTGCTTTCTCTTTATCAGTGTCAATAAAAGCAAGCAGAAGTATCAAATTGTTTAATGAAATCATATTTTGAGGGAAGGCAAACTGTCAAGATTTTGGGTTGCAGTGTAAGCAAGTATATTATAGGATGATTTGAGGAATCAATTTTGACAACATTCAGGTTGCCTTGTGTGATTTAAGCAAGGTTGACCTGCCTTATCTCAGACATTAGATTAAGGGGGAGCTTTCATGAAAAAAAGGAAAGGGTGAACAAAATTCTAATACCTTGTGGACACATTTACAGATCTCAGGAGAGTCCTCGTGAGTTTAGCCAACAGATGTCTTTATAGATGAGAATTGGTTTGTAGTATCTTTTATCTCATCAGCACGTAGATCGTCATTGTGCAAAATGCTGTGTTCAGTGTGAGGCTCTTGAGGCCAGTTCATGGTTAGAAAGTGTTAACGCTATTTGTCAAAAAATCAGTCAAAAATACGTATAGTGCAATAGCTTTTGCATTTTTGCACAACAGTTCTGTTCAGATTTTCTTCTGTAAATCTTACTAACGCGGATTGAAACGTTCCAATTGCAGGTTGATGCAATCAATGCACTTCTAAAAGGACCAGTAATAACTAAGGCCTTTGAAGAAACCAAGCACTTTCCAATGGACCACAGTTTGCAAGGTAAAGAAAAAGGTTGGTTATATTTAATAAAATGATTTGCAACGATACACATATGCTATATGGCCACACAGAGGCACTTAACTATGCAGTCCACCCAGTCATATGTTAATGGCAGGTACCGGGTCATTTTCATATGAATTCCTTCTGAAACACACAGCACACTTCTCTATATGCTGCTGAATCCTCCCGGCTCTTTCACAAGTCTCCAGATCTGTCCTTTGATGTGAACACAGATATGTATCTTAAAAGGTACAAAGTAGAGGTAGGTCAGATAGAGGTAAATGAGCACTCAGAGTAGCTGATGAGGGGCTGGCCACGGTAGGTCTGAGGTTCTGCCTGAGTTTGCTTAATGACTTACTCTGCTTTTCTTCAGATGGTTAACTGCCAGAGTAAACTCATCCTCACATGACACTTATTTTGAAAACCGATTCCCATAGAGAGCAAACAAACGATACCGTGTTTTTTTTTCCTTAGGGAGCATGATGAGACTTTGGTCTTAATGGTTTTGGGGCCCAGGATGTGGTTTCTTCTCTCACTGAAATACATAGGACTTTATTTCCTGAACATTTGCTGCATTTCCTTTCCCACTTGAAATCTGAAATGTTTCCTACTGTTCCTACTATACCTCAGGTGCTGCTGTCGCACTGCAGTCTTTGACAAGCTCCATTTTTAAGTTCCAGTGGCAAACTCTAGAAGAGTGCTTTTTCTGCCTTTTTTTTTTTTCCTGACTCCAGAAATAACTCCTATGAAGTTCTGTTACGTGAACTCATCTCTACAAACACAGTCACATTTATGTAGAATATCTGTTAGTCTTTCCATGCACTGTTTAATGAAATGAAGAAATAACAGACACTCTGTGTTCACTGATTTTATTTTATTTTGCTTAAACAGAGTCTCATTTATTAAAACTATGAAAATTGCACTGAGGGAGTCTTAGTTAACTGAAGATCCCACATTCATCACTAGGAACACACAAGCCCTGCTTATGTTCATCTGGAATCCTGGACCACAGTGTCAGTTTAGTAGCTGCCATAGGCACCTTCCAGTGGTGGATGTAAACGTCAATGCTCTCCCCTTGCTGCTCAGGAGCAGTTACTTGGCAGAGTTTTTCTGTGTTTCTCTGTCTGCTTAAGCATTTTTTCACCAACAATGGGTATTTGGCCCAGCTACATAGCTAAGTCATGGAGAATAAATCTTCTACTCTGTAATTAAATAATTACTTTCCATCAGGTGAAAGAAAGCAGGATATTTTGTAACATCTCGTCAGTATTATGGGATGTGCCACTGCAGCTTAAAAGTTGATCTGATTCTGCACAGCCAGGGACTCTAGATCTACCCGATAGAGCTGCCTGCCAATTATTAAAGGCAGAGAAAACAGAAGGGAATTCTGTGCTGTGTGAGTAGTGCAGTGCGCCCTTCACTGTGCGTGTCACCCATGTACGTAACTCTCGGCCCACAACCCTGAAAACAGTGCCAGGAGACTGCTGATCAGGAATAGTCTTTTTTTCCTTCCATATTAGATCTATTTAAGAACCTTTTTCATTCACAGCTGTTGCTATTGATACTGTCTCTGCTTTCATCTGTATACACATTATATACATACATATATACAGAGAGCCACTCTGAGCTATGTAGCATTTCTGTAATGGTTAACAAACTCCATTTTTTCTAGAATTTAAACAGAAGGAAGAAACCACAGTTAGGTGCCGGAATAATATTCAAGCCAGCATTCAAGAAGATCCATGGAACCTTCCATTGCGCATCAAGAACCTTGTTGAAATCATACAAAAACATGTGGAAGGTCTGTAAATAAGGAAAAGGCTTTAAGGAGAAAAGATCTTGATCTTCTCAAGTCTAGCAGTTCATTTTATCATTTACCAAGGCTGTACAGGCTGTAGAGAAGAACAGCTAAACCAGCTTATTGTGTGCAGAGTCCCAGTGCTGTATGGTAAAATCCCACCTGTGCAGCAATCCCAAAGAACTTTCTCTCCCATATTTTATTTCATCAGCTCGTTCAGATAGAATCATATCAGACTGATCTATTTCCCTGTGCTTTTTTTAATCCTTTTAGAAAATGATGAGAAAGGTGCTTGGTATATTCCAAAATTAAATAAATGCTAATCCAATACTATAACATCCTAAACCATTGCAATCTGGTTGAACTGGAACAGAAGCTGAATCTGATGCTTACAGCCCAGTGCAAAGCACTGGACAGAAATCACCTCCTTAGGGATTAATCTACGTGTGCAATTTGTTTCCAGTAATTCATGGAAATTAACAGAAAATTTAGCCTGTAAAATTTTTTACACCTTGTTTCTTTTTCAGTCTGTGTGAATAAGGACTACTAGAGTAAATAGAAATGGCCATGCAGGGGCCAGGGATTGTGGGGAATGAGGAGACTGTTAGCCAAATGCAACAAATCTGCCTTGCTGTCATGTTGACTAGAGCATTCCTTTTCTTCACTGTTTTAGATGGGAAGAATCAGCTGCTTTTGGCCTTGTTAAAATGCACAGGTAAGGGGTTTTGATTTGTTGCAAAACAACATCATATATACAGATGTCCCTAACACACAGTTTCTGTGTGCGTGCATGTGCATACATCAGGATGTTAGGTTTTTCCTTAGCATTTATATTTTTCCCTGGCATTTTATGCCAACATTTCGCATGCTCTGCATCTAGGGCAACCTTCCCACGCATCTGACATCTGTTCTTCAGTTTATATTATTTCAATTCATTGAAGGCTGCTTGTGTTACCTGGCTGGTCGCTGATGTTTCACAAGCACTGTTTTTCTTTTTACTGTCTTCATTTTTTCCTTTGTACAATTCTCCTTCCCAGATGGCCTTTACTGTTTCCTGCTCTGGTGAGAACATGCAGCAAAAATGAGACCTATTGCACAACTTTCTGTGAGACCATGGACTCTGTCATCTTTCCAAACAGAGCAGGCGTGTTAGGAGTTAGGATCATGTATACTGAAATTATAGCCAGGAGCAGACGAAGAACCTAAATGTGCAGGCAGCACCAAAATACCCTGTGGACATCATTAATCTGTTCCCAAAACACTGTGCTCACAGATCAAGGGACAAGCCTTTCCCAGGAGTGAATGTGCAGTCTTTTTGTAATTGAAACACCTACTTCGTGTACTTTTGTTTGAAAATGAGGTAATAAAGAACTGGAATAGGCTGTCGTTATTTCACTGTGCCAGACTTGATTCTCAAGTCTTCATAGAAAGAAAATGAGAGATTTGTATGGCCCTAAGTCAGCTCTCAGCTTCTGGTCCCTGAGTCTGTGCAAACCAGCCTGTGGCATCAGTCTGGTGTCCACAAAGGCTGTTTTTGCTCATAGTGTGTATGACTCCCCAGGTCTCTACCTGGGCCCCATCTCCTGCAGCATTTCCATGAACACCCTCTGGAAAGAATGGAGCAGATGGCACTGAACTGGCTGTGGCAGCTTTATTGCATCAGGGATTCCCTTGCCTTCAGGCAGTCCTCAGCTCTCTTTGCCTCACTTCCAGCGGTACAGAGGGGTACTGCTTGAAGGATTGGTTGTCCTTAAGTTGAGAATATGGCCCAGGGCCTGGAGTGTATTAGTTGGTCTATTGTGTTCAGTGCTTTATAAAAATAATCCAGATCTTCAAAGCCTCCGGGTGATGTCTTCAGCTTCTTTCTCTAGGGAATACTGCCTTCACAATGAGAGACTGCTGTACAGCAGTGCCTGCTGGAGGAGCCCAGGGTGCCTGGGAAGTAGCTCTTCACTTATTCATGTGCCTCTTTGGCCTGCAATCCCCTTAAGTGTGACGAGGTTGATTTGACCAGCATGGGGCCGCCTGGCAGGCGGACTGGAAGCAAAGTTAACACAGGGGAAATTCTCCCAGGAAACATAAACCAGTTGGTACCGTATGGGCAGAGCCAGTTAATGCATTAAGCATATGGGAAGGCCACAAAATACAGGGCGGGGGGGGGGCGGGGAAGATGAATCTGTAATAGCCCAGGAGAGGAGTAATGGCAGAGACCTTCTTTCAAGAATTCTCTTGCTCCTGTGGGCATAAAAAGAAGGGAATCAGTCCAGATATGGCACTAAGGAGTTACAGCTCTTCCCAGCCAGAAGAACGAGCATGCAGATGGCAGAGGTAGTAATAAACAGTCAAGTGAACCAGAAAATTTTCAAACATGCGTGTGCTCCAGCTATGCCGTCTTTATCTGTCCACGCAGGTCACACAGCAAGAGGAGGTTATCTGTTAAGTCTGTGCAAAGCTACAGCAGAAGCCAAATGTCATGCACGCACACACACGTGCAAACTGCTGCTTTGGCAGTGAGATTAAAGACAAGCATACTCATGACTTCTTTGTGCTTCTCTCCCCTTCTCTGGCAGATACTGAGCTACAGCTGAGACGTGATTCCATCTTCTGTCAGTCTCTTGTGGCTGCTATTTGCACCTTTTCAGAGCAGTTGCTCGCTGCTCTCAACTATCGATACAACAACAATGGGGAATACGAAGAGAGCAGCAGAGACGCCAGCAGAAAATGGCTGGAACAGATAGCAGCCACTGGTGTTTTACTAAACTACCAGTCTCTTCTCTCCCCCACTGTGGTAAGATGAAGAGTTGTGGTACCCTTGGGTCTGCTCACACTTGCCTGTGTGCTGCTCTGCCACTTGCAGCATGGCCAGAGCCCTTCATTCCAGCAGCATGTTTAGACTCTCGCTACAGGAACCTCTGGAGATTCCCGCTGCTGACAACCATGGGCCAATATTCATGTCCCATCATTTTCATCTCCTCACAAATACTGGACCCACTGTCACACTAGAACACTGTAGGAATCTGTCTGCCTTCGTATTTGAAGTAATGCTGCGTTTAGGGAGGCTTTACCGCTCAGTTGCTGGTGACGCATGTGTGGCCTGCCATCTTCTGGTGAATACACACATTTCAACAAATAGGTGAAAAAGTTCTGAGTATTTCAAGTTCGGACAGAGGGAAAATCTAGGCTTTTGTTCATGCACTGGACACTTCTATAGAATAGATAGACTGCAGTCTCTCTGTCACTTCCATGGCGCTGGTGTTTGAGACCCCGTGTCTAAGGAGGAAGGAGCTGGTGTTGCATAGTTCATCCACGCCTAAAGAACAGATAAGTCATAGCTAGGGTAGATAAGCTATTGTAACAGTAAAAATGTTAAGAAAAAAAGGAGCATAAAAAAAGACAAGTAACTGACACTAGAGAAGCAGCTTTTTTTGGATTTTGTAAACGTTGTAGATTGAGTGTGGCATTATGGTTTTTTGGGGTTTTTTAAAAATAAAATGCAAACTGTATGTGTATGTAACTGCTGTTTCTTTAGATTGCATGGAATGTGTGGACATTTATTTTGCAGTGACTGATAGACTGTGCTTCACATTTGTAGCTATAAAGTTTGGAGAAAGAGGTCCCTTCAGACTTAATCAGTTCTTAAACCTCTCTGCTCTCTGTGGATCACAAGTGACGGCTAAGCAAGGGGTAGCTAAACTTGTATCACAGAGAGCCATTAGTAATTACCTGGCTGGGATGGAGTTAATGGAAAGCTCCACATTCTGCTCTAGGTTTCCTGAACCAAAGCATGCCCATAACAGCTATACCTTCCTGCCACTGATCTCTTTCTGGCAGATTATAACCTATTTAGCTCTGTTTCTTTGCTCTACAGAAAGAGGAGCGTACCATGCTGGAAGACATCCAGGTCACTCTGACTGAACTGGACAAAGTTGCCTTCTATTTCAAGCAGCTGGATGAAAGTCTTGTAGCAAGTGAGTGTTCTCTGTGTCTCTGAATCTCGCTCTTTCTGGTTTGTTTCATGGATTAATATCCTCTGTGATTATAAATCTGATAGACCTGGAGAGCAGTGAGCAGCTTCTCTGAAGTCCTGTTGCATTCCCCCAGCTTGCACTGCAAACACACAGCATGAAGAGCAGGACTGACATCGCGGGGGGCCGGCGGCATGCTCTGTGGTCTGTGCCAGCGTACCTTACCTGTGTGCTTTCGCTCACAGGGAGGTATGACAGGTGCCGAGCAGTTCCTGACAGATGTTGGTAATTCACCACGTCACCTAAGGCAGAAGGACTGTCCCTCCCCAGCTCTTCTGTGTCCCACGCTGGCAGATCTCTCTCCATGTTTACTGACAACGAGATGCCATGAAACAAGATGGGATTTTAATTATTAACCATGTTTATTGTGTTAGCATCGAACATCATGCTAGGGCATGCTAACTGCGGATCTTTTAAAGTATAAAATTTCAGAGCCTGCATTCTCTCAGTAAAGGTTCTCTCATGTCCATCTAATGGTGGAGATACAAAATGTCATTAGATAATCTAACAAACTCAGATAGCAATGGTTTCGCATTTCTCCTGCTGTGGTAAATCAGCAAGTGTTTTATCTTTATTTCTCCAGATACTCACGTCTTCTACCACATCGAAGGAAGTCGTCAGGCCTTGAAGGTTATCTTTTATCTTGACAGCTACTACTTCTCCAAACTGCCTTCTCGGTTTCAGAATGGGGGAAGCTTGAAACTGCACACGGTGCTCTTTACAAAAGGTGTCTATAAAAAGCTTTCTTGTGAAAAATAAGATAACAAATGGTGTTGAAAGATTCAAAATAAAGAATGGCCATGAAGCTCTTAACATAATGCAGCTGAGAACTATAGACGTATTTAAGCAGCAGATGTTTCTATCCTAGGAAGACCTGGGGAGTGCTAGATTTTAGAACAAGCCGCAGGCATGAGAACAAGATATGCGCGTTTGGGGCTCTTTTTGTGCCTTCCTGTAAAGACCACAGAAACATTAGATTGGACTACATGGACAATCTGATCCTCGTATGGTATCGGGAGATGTTCCCAGGCTACAGAGAAGTTTTAAAAACGTACACCGTGACAGAATCATCTGGGCTGGAAATGGACTGACTTACCATGCAGGACTTTTCCTTCAGTGGGAGATTGATGGGTGTAATTACTGTTAGATAGACCTGCTTCCTGTGGAGCTCTCCTTTAGGTTACTGCCACTGTATGCCCACACTGGGAAATGCATTAAATTTATGCAGTAACAGAATCAGCCTTGACATGATCCAACAGTCATTTGCTGAGCATTGAGATGATATAGAGAAAAATAAATAAATGAATAAAAAGAAAACTAATAACATAGGTTTAGTAAAATGTTTTCTTCCTCAGCTCTGGAGAGTATGGAGGGACAATCACAAGCAGCTGGCTCATCTCCAGAAGAACTCCCACAGCAAATTAATGGTATTTCACTTGAAAAAGTGCAGCAATACTACCGTAAACTCAGGTATTTTATGCTTCTCCTTTGCCTTAAAAGACATTGAAAAGCACGCGCCTTGCGAAGTCCCTTCAAATTTAATGAAAAAGAGATGCCGTTCCTGATAGTTTCTTGTACAAATATGATTTTTGGAAATCCTCGTTGTGTGGGAAATCTGTTAATTTTCTTCCCACAGTTAAGCTTGTTCTGAATAGTGCACTGTACAGGATGAAATTCCATCTAATCTGACTTCAGAATTTTCTGCAGAGATAAAATTACACCAAAAAAAAAGGGAGGTTGGAATATTTTGGTACAAACTCGGTGAATTGCTGCAATCAAAATGCTTCAATAAGAAAGCAGATCTTGAATTACAAGATTTTTAGCATAGCCTTCTCAGATGTTTTATACAGGATAGCATACATATATGTGCTTGAAATGAGACACACCCACTGACGTAGTCCTTGCTGACCTTTTTGCAGGACATTTTACCTAGAGAGATCGAACTTGCCCACTGATTCCAATACTACTGCAGTGAAAATTGACCAGGTATTGCTATTGTGTTTGTTTCTACAATAAATTCTCTCATAAAAGTATTATTTCTACAGCTGTAAAATCCCAGTCGTGGGGTACCCATATGGCAGACCATGCATCATGTAAAAAATGTTCCCTACCCTAAAGAAATGATCTGAATTTCTCTGAAGCTTGGCTACAGTTCTTTTGTTTAGAAGAAAATGTGGAGAACTGGGGTTGACAAGAACCCCTTAGCTTAGGCACTAAGACTCCATATCACTCTGACTGCCTCTGTTAAATACAGTGTCTGATGTTACACAGAATGAATTCATTTTCCTCTCTCACAGATACATGAAAATGAACAAACATTCAATTTACAAGTTGTTATAGAAGAAAACAACAGGAAAATAGTACTTCCCAGTATCTCATGTAAAGGCACTCTGTCTGACTGGGGCAGGTGACACACGTGACCATAAGGCATTAAATACTACCACAGGGAAGACAAAATCAGAGACTGTCTTTGCGACTGCAATACACATATTGTCAACAATCTATGTGGTTTGTGGTAATTGCAAAAAATTGCCCCAAACCTAAGTAATTGTATTTTTCCACTTCCAAAGCTCATATATATTCTAAATAGATGTTACTGTGTGGCAGTTACCCCGTGTAGATTATTGTGCTTAGACATAGGATAAGGAATTGTAAATGTCTTTATAACTGACGGTGTAAGTATGCTACTGATTTTTTTTTTTTTAATTGCTTTGTTTAGCTTATTCGCCCCATTAATGCAATGGATGAGCTTTGCAGGCTGATGAAGTCTTTCATTAATACAAAACCAACGCAGTCAGGCTATTCTAGCAGTCACACCTCTGGAGCTGGCCTGCTACCTATATCCTCTGAGCTCTGTTACCGACTTGGAGCCTGTCAGATTGCTATGTGCGGCACTGGGATGCAGAGGTGAGATTGAAGAAAGCTACATGTCACTGGTGTGATGAGAACTTTTGTCCTTTCTAGAGATTTGAACAATATATTTGATTCTGTTCAAAGCAATAGGAAGGTAGATTGTTAAGGGAATATAATAAGGGCCTATATCTACTGCCATCTTTATTTTAGGGGAGGTTGTGCATTTTAATACTTTCGTTAATAATTAGTATTGTCACACAAGCTTTATTATGTGTTAGTGCATCATCCAGTGCAGCTGAGTGATCTCATTGCATATAACTCTGTCTTTAGGCACACACTGAAGATGTAGGAAGTTTCTCAAAAATAGCTTTAGAATTGTGGTGTGTGGAAGCATTTATTCTAAACATACCAGTGTTCTTCCAGTGTCCCAAAAGCATCGAGTAAAGAAAAGATTAATTTGTGAGTAACTTTATGTAGAAGAGCAGAGAAACGTAAGCCTTGTTGTAACGACCCGCCTGGACACAATCCTGTGCGAGCTGCTCTGGTGACCCCGCTTCAGCAAGGCGTTGGAGTAGGTGAGCTCCAGCGGGCCCTCCCAAGCCCTGCCAAGCTGTGATGCTGGAGACTCAAACGATTGCAGTACCTAGGTGTAACGAGACTGGAAATGCGGGACTGAGCTAACTTTATAATTTTGTAAGTCAAAAAACAAACTAAAAAAGTAACTATAAGAACGCCAGCTAACAGAAGTTGCACTTAACAGCTAAGTGTCCTGTTCGTACCTACATATGTGCTTTTAAATCTGAGCTGTGATTTAATACCTCTTGTTCCCATGCTCAGAAGTACGTTGAGTGTGTCCCTGGAGCAAGCGGCCATACTGGCTCGAAGTCACGGCCTTTTGCCCAAGTGTATCATGCAAGCTACAGACATCATGCGAAAGCAAGTAAGTATCTGGGTGTGCGTCTGCTGCGTGCCACCATTTTCATTCCAGTGACATCATTGTACAAACACCAGTTTATTTCGCTGTGGCACTGTATTTTGTGCACTACAAACCCGTATAGCCAACTTCTGTGAACGTTTGAATGGCTACACATGTATTTGACAGGAACAAATTAACTTTTGCATGTACAGCAATTAAAATATGTGCCTTGGTGTACATAATTTAAAGTGTGTGCCTTGATGGCTAGAAATTAGAGACTATTCAGTATATTTAAGACAATTTCTGTATATTAAAAAAAAATCAAGTCTCAATCACAGTGTTAAATAGTAGAAATTCTCTAGTGCTAGACAGCAGTGCTTGTAAAGTGCTTTCGGACGGATTCCATCTTTTAAGTAAACACAGATGACTAATATATCCACCCAATGGACTCCAAATCTTCTAAAAGTAGTTAATGGATTCTCAAATAGAAACCATACTCCCATTATAATATTTTCCCCTAGGGATCAGATGCTTTATCGATACTGTCAGTACCATAAATTCTGTTTCCTTAGGGACCAAGGGTTGAAATCTCTGCCAAGAATCTGAAAGTGATGGACCAAATGCCACAGTGTGCACCTCGGTAGGTTATTATGTATTATACATTTTATCTGAGTGCTGGTTTTATGTTTCTCTGACAGTTGTGGAGTTCCTGGTATAACCAAAGATCTCCTTAGTAGCAGTAGTGGGGGGGGAAGAGAAACTTCCTGTTGTTTGTTCTCGCTGTACTAAACTAAGTGCAGTCTCGATTCATCAGCTTTGCTGCTTACAATTTGCAGATCGTTAACTTCAAAGGTTTCTGCATTTTCTGAATAAAACATAACTGATCAGACAGAAGGGTCTTTTTCGGACTGTTGCTGTGAGTTGGCACAGCTAGTGATTGACAGCCATCTGTGGAATGCTTTGAAAGAAAAATTTCTGAGTGGCAAATCCAACTCCCGATACGCAAAGATAATTGGTAGGCTACTACTGTTGTGTGCTTGTAAGAGCTTGGCTGTTCAGTTATGGCAGAGCAGGGCTAAGAGCAAGTGCTTCAAGTGAGGGTGACCGCACAGTAACGCAGCTCTAAGGAGGATCGGTTGCCTGGGGCTATATGTGGTTTTGTCCAAAGACAACTTTGGGAAGCACCGTACATTTGCAAATCCTACTGCACCTAACGGGAGCTAGAGATGTTCATCGTCTCTTTCTAGGGAATAAGAATACCTTTATTTTTAAGAAAAGTATCTCTATCTGGTCAATTTCCTCCAATTTCATATGTCAGAGACAGAGACAAATATTCTTTAGTAAACTGTAACACAGCATTTTCCCACAATAGTAGTAACAAATCGTCATGATTTAGGTGAGAATGTACATGGAATCAGTCTGTACAAATACTAGTGAAACTTCGGATTCTGCTCTTGCTAATGGCACTCTTTAGGTGATGGCAAAGCAGTTCTGACGTGTAGGAATTGGCATCAGAAAAGATCCAGTAAAGTCTGTGCCATCCCTTCAGATAGAGCGACTGTATTTCCTAGTGCTTGAGCTCTGAGAACATACTAGTTCAGTGTCAAGGCTTCCTTAAAACACTGATTGTCGTGTTCAACCATTAAGACTTCTGAGTTAGTCTGAACAAGCCCCACCTCTTCCCCCCCTCCCCCCGATCTGCTCCTCAAAATGTTTACAGGAGATTATTTTAGAGGCTGTGATGATGCTTTACTGTAACAGTCTGGCCTCAGTTTATTTTCTCGGAGACCTTAAAAAGAACAGTATCTCTCGTTTAGAACCTTATCCTTCTGTTGGATTGTAGTTGCTGTTTCAAAAAGGAATGAAGTAACAGTCCATGTTGGCTCCCGTACCATGTCCCCAGCGTCGCACCTCAGCAATTTGGCAGCATGGTTATTTTGCCTTGTTAACGGCCGTACATTGCTTTGGTTCCATTTTTATGACCATAACAGCATGCTGTTTTCTAAACGAAACAGCTTTACAAACAAATCATAAGATAAAGCATTTCTCTTCTTTCGTATACACTCTAAATCGCAATGACAAATTCCAGGACTATTTACTTTGATTATTTCAAGGCAATAAAGCTCAGATACACGTGTTCCTGCTGGGCTCCATTATTATGATGTGAAATAAAACTGAGCAAAGTTAAAAGGAGATCTGGTGAATTAATGTCAGTTCTCAGGATTATATTGCCTAGCATTGAGGTTTGTCAAACTCTGCAGTAGCAGTCTTGGAAGAGAAGTTACAAAAGACTTGCATTTATTCAAATGTAAAGTAGAAAAGGCCAAGAAAAAGCTACCACAGAGACTCATTGAGGAATGACAGGGTCGAGATGCGCTTAGGTTTAACCACTGACCTCAATGTGCTAATCTTGTGATTTAAAAAAATGTCTCTGAAAACCTGATTACTAATTTTAAAGTTTGTTCAACCATGTCAACAAGCAAATATATTCTTTTATCTGTCTGGTGTCCCAGTCTGTATGAGGAGTGAACTCCCTTGTTCAGGAGAAATGATGAATTGGGTTTAAAAAAAAGAAACAGAAAAGAGAGAAGGGACTGTTTGAAGACCCAAATTGGGCCAAAGTTAAAAGGCAGTGATGGACAGTCTCAAGAAGTATTTAAACAATGATTGTAAATACTTTAGTTAGTAGATCACTAGTGGCACTTCACAATTTGCAATTGTTAATTAAAACCAGTGGTATTCTTGATATTGAATTGCCTCTAAAGCTGCAGAATGAATGACACAGAAGTTGACCCTCACATGCTCTGCCCGTAACTTTATGCTAGCACCCTTACGATATTTAATACCACACTCTTCCTCTGCCCTAAAGACTCTACAGGTTGTGCCAGCCACCTACAGATGGGGATTTATAAAAGTGCGAGAGGCACCTACCTTGTAGCATCGTTAAGTGTTCAGTTATGAGCAGCCCTGTCTGAGGACCCACGGCAACAGACCCTGGTGGTGCTGAGCGAAGAGAGGAAGAGATCCTGCGCTGCGTCGGTAGGAGGGAACCTGCTGGGCCCAGGCACCGCGAATCTGCCTTTGAACTCCTGCTGCACGGGCAGAGATTCTAGTATTTCTTTGACTTCTTGAAGAAATTCTTGAAACAAACACCACAGAGCAGAGGTGGATGTTACTGCCATTTGCCAGATGCCTGGAAAAGTGACAATTGTATTTCAAGAAGGCACAGTTTTACTGGTGACTTGTTTGTGCTGCCACCTAAAAGTGTGGACTTCAAGATATAGATCGGTTAAGAAAACCCAGAGTGTTGTGTCTCTCTCCCTGTGCTGCATCTGGCATTCATTTAATTGCCAGCATAAGTTTGGTCAGCATCCTTGAGCAGTAGCTTCATAAACACCACTTTTTCATGAACTGACCTGCACTTTTGAACAAGGAATAGCACAATCTATGGCTTATTCAAATATGAACATAAAGAATTTCTTCTGGAGTAATTTTCCACTTCAGCCCAGTGAGAACCAATCTCTCTATGCTGCAGAGTATACATTCCATAATACTTCTTAACATTACTTCATTTTACTTACTGTAGCTTTCAGGTTTTTGATTAACTCTTTTTGCTAATGCCCCATTACGCAGTCTGGAAATACAGTGCTATTTAAGAGGAGAGAGGGGGAGTGAAGGATTTTAGAGAAAACTTTACAAAGGAAAATACAGTCTTATAATCTGATTATTTGAACAGATGTAGTTTTTAAAACAGGTCAGAAGAACTATACTTATTTATGTGGAGTGGAGTATGTGTTTTCGATCATGTTATTATATATACAAGATTTAAATAAAAATTATATTGTTTAAAATGGGACCAATATGCTGGCAATTACACAGCTACTCCCAGTTTACTGAAAAAAAATCTACGTTATTTAAAATCTTCCAATATTTAAGTAGTCTTTAATACAATTATTAAGATGTATTAGGGATGCTTTTAAGTTAAAAGAAAAAAGGAATCATGTATATAATGTACTTTATTTTTTCTTGTTTGAAAAATTGTTCTCCATTCTGTCAGTATTATCCAAGCACAGTAATTTTTTCCAAATTACTGGCTGAAACTAACTGAAACGTGTCAGCAGTCTCAGGACAGAAATAATGTTCTTTTGGAGCGAGTGCCTTAACATGACCACCCATCCCTAACGAGTTTCAGCGGTAGCAGGTGGCAGGAGGAGGGTGCGTAGGAGCCTTCCCTTTCCTCTGTTTCTCCTCGTTTGAAACCGTTCGCAGTTAGGACATCAGAAGCGCTTTGCAGTGATGCATATTCTAGAAAATAAAGGTTTGGGGTTTTTGTTTGTGACGTTGCTTGTTTTTTAGCTGGCTTCATTTTATTTTATTAACATCCAAACCAACTCAAAACCTAAAATTAGACTTTTTCCATCTGGACAGGAAGGCCTCTTAAATTTTTTCATCTGCCCTAAACAAACACAAAATGGCTTATGACAAGTTTGGGGATGCAGATTGCTCCGAACCTTGTTTCTTAATGTTTGAATTTTTTTTGGACTTCACTCGCAGACTGAAATAATCTTGGAGAAGGAACATGTTTTGCTTAATCTCTTACTTTTTACTGTTTCCTCTGACCTACAGCAGCCTGTTTGCAGGGACCTAGGACAACCCATCGATCGCCAGCTGTCAGGTACAGGGGTTTGTCACTGCCTGTCCGTTTGTACTGCAGCCAGATGAGCAGATCATAGTTTCAATGCACTTTTTGTTAATTTTGGAAGAGTTATTCTTGCCATTTGCTGTTTGAAGAAGACATTGATGTTTCTTTACTCACTTTAAAATGTACTTAGTATTATAAGAACTGTAGGAACACCCCAAAATAGAAGGAGCACATAAGCCAAGATCCTCACTTTGTCTCCATCATCAGCTCTGTTCCGTGGAACTGCAGCCATTCACGCAGCCTGGTGGGGATCCTGGCCCACACTTACGCAGTCACTGTCAACATTAAAGATGCACAGAAGAGCATCTAAGGGCATTTACACTGTGCACTGTTTTACATTGGAATGTATATGTTATTCTCATTGAAAACGTGATAGAAGTTTTTATTATTAAAAGTTGGTTTATATTATAAGGAAAGAAGGTATGATCTTATTTTTCCATTGTACCCTTTGGTTCCTTAGCTCCACGTTCTGCTGAACAGTCTTAAGTTCCGATATTTCTGTGGAGCGATGAGGAGTTGAAGTTTAAACTGCAAGGGAAAAGTTGGTGCTGGTATGAGCTCGAACAGGCAGTGCAGAGCTGAACTCTTCGTGTTTGGGCAGTGTGGCTACAGCGCTGGTTGCTGCAGACTGCCTGTTACGGTAGGAAAGAAGAACTGTTTTGGTGCTGTACAACTGCAAGGTTTGAATCCAGTGCTGGGAAAGACAGGTTCAAGTGGAAAATAATTGGGCAATGCACAAGCCAGCCTGCAGGTAGAGAGTAGGTTAGGGCTGCAGAATTTCCATGGCTAAAAGCAAAGTAAGGATCAGGCCTGCCACAACCGAACAAGTGCAGATTTCGTAGGTCTGGAGCATCTGATACACGGGGAGTGTGGAAAATACAGAAAACACAGTCAAGATGGAGAAAAGGGAAACTTGCAGCGTGATGATGAGGTGTGTAAGCAGCTGGCTGAAGGAAAGAAGGCAACACAGAAAAGAAAGTGGGGGTTGGGTGGCAGCTGCAAGTGGAATTTCTTGTGTATCAGCCTTGCGGCTGAATTTGCTTAGCATAGTCATTAATCACTGAAGCACAGCTACTACAAGGCTGGAGTTGATGTTAACTTGGGAGGCACTCATCCAGAGAAGGATCAGGGTACACCCAAAAAAACCCCTGGGAGACTTTGGACACTGAAGGGGATGAAGTGAATGGGATGAAATTTTACAGTACAATCCTAGTTCATGCACTTGAAGATTAAACAAAGTATTTTGCTATATTTCTTGTTAACTGATGATAAAAGGACCTTGGTTATAGACTTTGTCACGAGATGACTCAGATGCAATTTGATAGAATCGTGAAAGCTCAGCCTGCACTAGGAGGCAAATTTCCAGTTGGGATGGAGAAGTAACCAAGCCACGGTGCAGAGGCCAGATAATTAAGTGACATTGCAGTAGCTAGGTGTTAAGGAAAGATACTGAAATGGTATCAATAAAGTGGACACAATTGTGCAAGATAAGGAGAGCTTGATTGATGTAGCCAAAGACACAAGTATAACTGATGTCTTTATAAGGAGATAATAATGAGGAAGGTAAAGAGAATTCAATCTGACCATAAATACAGGCAAAGGAGACAGAGGAGTACAAGCAACTGGGGATAAATATTGGCTAAAAATTGTTCTGGACCCTAGAAATATTGTGGGTCTTTTTCTCAATCAGGCTCTGACAAAAAAGCAGTAACTTTTACAAAGGGGCTTGTAAAAGATGAAGCAGTGGTGCCTCGAGTCACAGGAGAGCCTCTCTGGGTGGGCCGAGGTGGCCCTTCCCCGTCCAGCCCCGTCTGGCTGCTGAAGCTGTGCTTGGCCGTGACAGGAGATAGTGTGAGCAGTCCCTGCTTTGTCCGATTTTGTCCATGGCACTTGCAAGGACAAGTAAACTGCTTTTCAGATCCAGGCCTTGTCTACCTATTAGCGTTGGACATTTCCATATTCCAGTATCCATTTGCAGACTGAAATACTGGGATTTTTAGATGAGAAACCACAGATTTAGACAAATACACATCTCCTTTCCATTTAGAATAAGTAATATTAAAAAGAAAAATCCACCTGGACTCTGGCAAATTCTTTTTCATCTGTCGTATTTTCTTACCAGCAAATGGCGCTAACTTGGGAATACCCTGAGCACTAATTATTTCGTGGTTCTAAAGTGAGTTGAAGCTATAAAACACTAAGACCTAACAATCAGAATTTCAATGTAAAAATAACTTGAAACACTCCTACTTCCGTAACAGCCTATATAGTATTTCATCATAACACTTGGCATTATAAATGTCTGATGCAGCTTCTAAGCACCTGGTCATTGGTAAAAGGTTGAGAAAAACCCCCTAACCCAACAAACGGCGCCTGGAACCAGCTTATTCACAAAAGCATAGCCCGTAGCCTAATTGATGATACCATTGATCAATCAAATTACCCAGTACAGTTTGTGTCTAAAGGCACCGTTTGTGTGGCACTGGAGTGTTCAAGTACAAAGCTGGAATTCGCTGTTCAGAGAAGTCTGCACTAGCTGTTTGTCTTAACAGGGAAGAAAAGCCTTTAAACAGCAAAAGGTGGTTTTGCTGCTTTTTAGAATGAGACTCCTGGCTTTGAGTAGCACCAGCAAACGATGGTTGTGCCAGTGGGTTCTGATCCTTCTGTTCGTTTCGTGTTAAATAACACGGTGCAATGGCGGGTGTGATGGTACTGTCGCTGCATTGCCAAGGGAGGCTTTGTTTAACATAAACTGAAACTAACGCTAGTGTCCTCAAGACATGAATTTCCGAGTGCTGAGGCTCACCAGGCCCAACTTCCTTCGCTATACCGAGCAATTCACTTTTCCTCCCTGCTGCAGACTGAGGAGGGAACTGGGGAGTTATTTTCTTACCACTGGTATTGTGAAGATTCAAAGGAGAAAAACTGTAAACTGCTTTGAAAACTGACGGTGCTTTTACATATATAATGTAGTTTTAATGACTTGAAAAACAGGAAACTAGACGGAAGAAAGGACAAATACCAGAAAAGCACATATAAAAATCTTTGCTTTGAATTCCCGTACATATATTAATTGCGAGCACTTGGTATAAGGAAAGACGACTGAGTGTATTTTTGTTGTACTTGCTGCGCCCCATTTCAGGATTCAGAAGTACTGTGCATTAATACTATCAAGGAACCCAGTTTAACGTACCTGTTTTCGTTAGGGGA